CGCAGGCCGGCCTGCCGCCGCTCCGCCCGCAGCCGCGCCGCCGCCGTCAGCGCCCGGCCGCTCCACACTGCATCCTGGGAGCCGGCGCCGCGGCCAGGCCGACGAAGGCCCGTGAGGCTTCCTGGAGGCAGCGCGGCGGCACAGCTCCACCTGCAGCTCGAGCGGCGAACGGCAGCGCCGGCCCCCGCCCGCCGCCGCCGCGCCCGGCCCCGCCCCCATCACTAGGCCCCGCCTCGGCCCGCCCCCGACCACGCCCCCGCGTCGCCCCGCCCCTTGCGGCGCTCGGACCGGGGTGGGAGGGGCGCCGCACCAGAGGCCCCGGCCGAGCCGCCGCGGCAGCCTAGTTTGGCCGGATAAAACTTGGGCGCGCGGCCTCGGTGGGCAGGGCGCACCCCCGGCCCTGTCACATCTGCAGCTGGCCAGCTGTAGCACGCCTTGGAATGGAGTGAATGCTTCCAACAATAGCAAAACACCTTGATAAGTCACAGTAGGCATCCATGTAGGATTATTTGTGTGTGTTATAATAAACATTTCAGTGGCATGAAAAATGGATTAAAAGGCCAGCGTTCAAAGCCCTCTTGAATGGAGCTGGAGACTCCACAGGTCAGTGGCACTTGCTGTTCGTGCTTGCTGTTCAGCCTGGGTTTAGGTTCCCAGAGGCTCTCAACCCACTGTAAGAACAGTTTCAGGAGATCCAGCTCCCTCTTATGATATACCTGGGCACCAGACACGCACGGAAAGACGGTCATACAGTGAGAGTAGTCGTGTAGAATAGGAGTGTTTATCTTGTGTATTAGTCATGCTCGTATAAAATTTTATTTCTAACAAAGTTTAGGTAGTGCTGGTGGTTTTATGTTAATAGGGAGACCTAACTTTTTAAAATTCCTATTTTTGTTTTTTAATAACAAGGAAGGGAAAAAATTAGGATGTAAAATTTCTCCGGAAGCCTGGTGTGGAGCCCCCGTGTGGCAACCGGGACGTATTGCCTTTCAGAATAGCCTCCCATGCGGATGCCCAAGCAGGAGCCGGCAAGACCTGGATCAATGGCTGAGATCTTGTTGTTCTCGTTTGTTACTTATTTTACCTTATATATATATAAAACATATATATATATATATATATATATATATGCATGTATTTGTATGTAAATATGTGTACGCATGTGCAGAAGGCCAGGGGTCTCAGGTCCTGGGAGCAACATGGAAACAGAACTTTTGTTCTCACGCTTAATCATCGATACCCCTTCCCCCAGCTCCTTGACTGTGCTGACTAGTTCTGTGTCAGCTTAACACAAGTTATAGTCATCTGAGAGAAGGGATCTTAACTGAAGAAAAAAAAAATGCCTCCAGAAATCTGAGCTACAAGCAGCCTCTAGGGCATTTTCTTTCTTTCTTTTCTCCCTAGGGCATTTTCTTAATTAGTGATCCTGGAGGAAGGGCCCGTCAATGGTGGGTGGAGTCATTCCTTGGGTTCTCTAAGAAGTCCCAGGTTCTGTAAGAAAGCAGGCTGAATAAGCCATGAGGTGCAAACCAGTAAGCAGCACCCCTCCATGACCTCTGCATCAGCCTATTTCCAGGTTTCTGCCCAGTTTGAGTTCCTGAACTGACTTCCTTTAAGGGTGAACAGTGGTGTGGAAGTGTAAGCTAAACAAACCCTTTCCTCGAAAGTTGGTCATTGTGTTTCATCATAGCAACAGAAACCCTAAGACACTGACTGAGATCTTAACACTCCCCTTTATTCCTCTCCTAGGCCTTTGTGGTCTGTAGGCCTGGGAGAAGAGATGGAGTCATTAGAAGGCATCCTTCTTAAGGTGTAAAAATTGAATTTCCCCTGGGTGAACACTTACTCTTAATATTTGGGGAAGCTGGTTCCCCAAATCCAATTTTTCTCTCTTCCTGCTAACTCAGCTGTGTTCTGAGGTCTCCAAAGTCCTGGGATTGCCTCTTGAAAGAAGTACCTGGATCAACTGACATGGAGTGAATCCTTCAAAGGCTGGAGTCCACCTCTTACCCTCACTACAGGGGAACAGCTTGAGCACCTGCCCCTCCAGCTCCAGCTCCTCTCCTATTGTTTCTTTTGGCCCTTCCCTCAAGGAGGAGTTCCCTCCCCTTCCAACACATCCCCTCCGATAGGGTGAGCTGGGACTGAGGTTTCATAATGTGGAGGGACTGGAAAGGGCAACCACCTGACAAACTGCAGACACGGGTGCAAAGGCAGTACTCCGTGGCCCGTGCTTGTTGGCTCTGCTGCAAAGTCCTGGGCTGGAAAAGGAGAAGCAAAGGCAGCTCTCCACTGAAGAGCTGTACCCACACCTGCTCTTTACTCTCTGAGGCTTTCCCTCGAGAAGCCCACATCCGTGCTCTCAGCTGTGTTTTCCTTTTTCCTGGGCATCCGTCCGTCTCCTAAGCTTTGGGCTTAAGCCTATATGAAATATCCCTATTAACTCCAAGTCTTCTTTATTTTTTTTTTTTTTTAAATCCAGGGCTAGAAGGGTGACTCAGCAATCAAGAGCACTGTCTGCTCCTTCAGAGGACCCGGGTTTAGTTCCCAGCACTCGTATGGTGGCTCACAACCGTCTATAATTCCAGTTCAGGGAGCTGATGCCCTCTTCCTATATCCAAAGACACTGGACATACCCATGGCACACATACCCACATGCCGGTAAAACATTCATGCGTATAAAATAAATAAATCTAAAGCAATCAAACTCAGCAAGTATTTTTCAACAGGCCCTTCTAGCCTTGGGAGGCAAATCTCAAAGGTCTCACAGTAGTCGTGAGAATATAAACAAATAATCACAGTGTGACTAGCAACTGGGTCAGAGCTTAAACGGTGGGTAGTCAACCTATATAGGATTGTGCAATTGAATTGGGGGTCCTGAAACATTTGTCAGCAGTGAAAGGTTTCTGAGCATATAAAGACAAAAAAAAAAAAAAAATTAATTAATTCAGGGAGGCCTGGGAGGCTGGAAACCTGCAGCTTCTGCTATTAACTGTCAGGGATTCCTGACCAAGTCAGGCAGTCTCCCAGGGTCTCCGTCTCATGTGGAAGATGGTCACTGAGAAACCTACCTTCCTTTTGAAATTAACTTGCTTTTTTAAATTTTTCGACTGTCTTTTTGTGTAATCCTGATTGTCTTGGAACTCCCAGTAATCTGCTTGCACTACCTCCCTCCAGAGTGCTGATGTCGAAGGCTGTGCCACCAAACCCAGGACATCCCAACTTGCTTTACTACTGGACCCTGTGGAAGCCCAGTACTCCCTCATTCCTTCCACTGTGGCTTAGTTCCAGGATTCTGAAACTTTTAAACGTTATTTTATGTATGTGGATGTTTTGCTTGGATGTATGTTTGTACACCACTTGGTGCCTTCGAAGGCCAGAAGAGAGGGGATCGGATCCCCTGGAACTAGAGTCGCAGATGGTTGTGAGCTGCCATGTGGGTACTGGGAATCGAACCCAGGTACTCTGGAAGATCAGCCAGATTCTTAACCACTGAGACACCTCTCCAGCCCCAGCTCTTAGACATTTTATGCTTGCGACTGCTGAGAAAATTTTATATAATCCTTGCTATATACAAATGGGTCTATCAAATCGAACATTTTCTCATAGTAAGTATAACTTTATTCTAAAACAATTCCGTGGCATCCATACAGTCTTCCCACTTATTTACAGGGAAGGCCGCTCTGCACATGGATGAGATACTTGTGCTTCTTTGTTTGTATCTTAAGAATTAAATCTTGGCTAACCATTTGATACTGTAGGATGTGGAGCATCTTCTCAGAGTGGTCGAATGTTTTGATTTTTATAATTTTCCGTGTTTGAGAGCTCCACTTTGCATCAGTACATAGTACAGAACGGCAGAAGTTTGTTCAGAACCATTTCAGAAACTGCTGGCAATTCCGCCCTAATCTCAAGCCAAAATTCATTTACTGATTTTTCAAGTGAAACTCCAGCCGTCACATATGCAATAACCGAAGGCTATACTATGATGCGGTACGAAACTTACACCCGGAGAAGTGACGGCAGGACAGTGCAGTCGTATTTTCTGCGAAGCATTCCGTTGCTATATAAGCGGAAAGCTGGCGAAGCAGGGCAGTGTGTAGCGCGGTAGTTCTGAGTCTGACCGAGGTGTGTCAGGCAGTGTTGTCAGCGCGGGTGCCTCGGTGGAGGAGTGCGCAGGGCCAAAGTCGCTCACTGCAGCGTTAGGCACGTGATACTGGAAGCATTGTGTGTTTTTGTTTGTTTATTGTTTTGAGATAGGATCTTGATACATAGCCCAGGCTGTCTTTAAACTCCCTATCTAGACCTACTTGGCCTTGAACTTCAGTGGAGATCCTCCTGCCTCTGTCTTCCATGGTTGGGTTACAGGCATGAGCCACTTCGCTGGGCTGCGCACTTGACATTGAATTAACGTTTCATCTTCATGACCCTGTCAGAGACCAAGTGTTACAGGTCCTCCCGTTGAGTTCCATGAGCCTGACTGAAAACTCAGCGTCCCAGTTTTGTACAGAGTTCATGCCTGCTGTTTAAGAGGCTGTGGTCCAGCTGCTGGTCACTCCGTATGATTATTCCCTTACAATCTCATCCTCCCTCC